ATCCGGTTTTGTAACAAGCTCCAGGTACGCACAACAGAACAGAAAAAAAACAAAACAAATAGATTTCATCACACAGACTGGTAAATTAAACGCCGATGATATATGTACACACACAAAATTTGCCAGCTCATATGTAAACAAAATGTCCATGTGTTCCCAATTCGCACTTCGTTCCAGTCTTCGACTTACTCGTATTTCATCGTGATACTTACCAAACCTCAATTACGACATCCGTCCCTATAGTGATTTGCTCAGTTGAAATCGAACATGCCAGTGCTCACAATTCACACACGTTGAGTTGATTGCATGTAAGCGGAACTCACTGCACAACGAAACCCACACAATACTGTTCCATTTCGCCGGCACTGGTAGCAAACAACTATGAGTTATTGTCGTTCTGTGAGATGAAACGAACAGCGGTTGTGTGCGTGTTTCTTCTTTCCAAAAAAGAACTGATGCACACAGCCGAAGTAGGTTTAGTGACGCCAGGATCTCGGGCAGAGAACAATCAGAGAAAATTTTGTTTGAAATATAGCTTAATATAGGGTCATATTGGTCAACTGTAGAGCTAGTTATAACTTTCTCGTGATGGTCATTTCTAACTAACAAAACACAAAACAATCTTCAGTTGAGGAGAAACAAACATTGTAATAATGTAAATACTAATTATGAAACAAAAGGTCTTCTATAAATCGTTGGTGTGATCGGTGTTGCATCTTCGATGGGAATAGTGAAACAACAGAAGTTTTTGATTACTATCATTGACCTGTTAGAACATACGTGCTGAATAAAATCACCCTTGATCAAGGAGAGATGAAAACTTTGGACGGGACAGAAATGCTTTCACTGACCAGCGGAAAAGTGTCGCCCGAGGTGACTAGGTGGAAAGTGTTATACGATTCCCGTGTGTTTCGTATTGTTCTTATTTTCTGCTTATGAATTCTCACCTAATGGAGATGGTCTTCCTTTTTTTCCAAAGAAAACCTGTTTTTTCTTAGGAAAGAAAAACGATCAGTATGATTAGTACCACGTAAATCCTCGGTAATCAGTCAATCCGGTATTTTTCCTGTTAAGCTGGATTGTTTCGATAAATGTTTTGTTAGTATGTTGCACTGAACAGCTTCGTTTTCAGTTGCACTCTATCTTGTTCTACCGACCGGTTTAGCGGATCCCGCACGACAAGGGTTTTTCTTCTGTCCGACACTATTCGAATGTTGAACACATTGTCGTCTGATGCGCAATCAATTTCTGGTTCGTTATCCGACATCGATCAGTAAGTTAGATCGATAACATAGCCTGACATGGATAGCAATTTGAGTTTTTCTTGGAACCACGGAGACAGGGGACATCAAAGTGAAAATTCGCGTGAACTAATGAAGAATAATACTGGTGGAGATTTGGTCGGAAAAACGTAGTGCTTTTATTCGTCACGTGATCCCGTTCTGTTCAGGTACTTTGATCCAAACGACTGTCGGACGTGTGCCAGGCCAAAGCAGACCATTCTCGTCGACTCCAACTTGTGCTTACTCCCTCTGGTTTTTCATCAATGCAGCCTGTGGTAATACAGTGGTTGAAATATTGCTAGAGACACTAAGAAACAAACAGCTTTACTCAAAGCTTAACATAGCCTATTGGGTTTGTGAAACGATGAACGTAGTCCGTTGTAATGAGCATCCACGAAACCTGGGTACAAACATCCACTCAGTGTTCACTAACTATCCTCAGTGGATATCCTTAAACGTGTGCTGAAATGAATTGAACGCGCTTGTATTTGGAACGGGAGAAGTAGTTTATTTGAGCAGTCTTTTTAGTTGCCATCAAATTTTGTAATTTATCGGCGTTTACCAGAGCAATTGACCTAAATCATGTGTTCAATGTTCAATGTTCAATGTTCTTCAATTAGAGGCAGAGGGGAATTTCCTGTATGAGCCTCATCACCACAGACTCGAAGATCTCATTCATGATAGATCTGCATACCACATTGTTCGCAGGACGCTGTCGAGCTTCCTCTTGAACATCTTATCATTGACCTCTTCCACCACGTCAGCTGGAAGGGAGTTCCAAAGATTGGTTACCCTTCGCGACAGCCCGGAACCGAAGAGGTAATCCTACGGACGAAAGCTTCAACAGCGTAAGTCCATGTCCACGAGTCCTGGTCTGCTCGCGCAGAGGGAAATACTCCATCAACTCTGGACCCATGTCACCGCGAAGAATACGTCGCACACAGATGATATCACCCCGTACTCGGCGATAGGACTCCGGAAACAATCCAGTCGCATGCAATCGTTCGGTGTAGCAACACTCGCATCAGATATTATTCACACTTTATGGATCACAAATCAGACGTGTAGCATGGTCCACCGGCAACGAATTGATGAGAAATATAATTTCATGAACAGGAAAATCCCATCTGGTCACGCAAACACTGCTCCTAAGAAGATTTGTTGGAGGTTCTACAGAAGCGTGAATATTTTTTCTGGGTTTTGTTTTCTGGCTGTCTTCGAGCCTAAACCTATTTGCATCTCGCAACTGTTTTTATCTGTCCGCAATGCGTGTCCAGTTTGGACTAACTCCAGTTGGTCCGCTCATCGTCCGATCGATCATTCGCTGCACCCGGGGATCTAACGGTTGGATACATTAGTACTGATTCGTTGGTATAAAACTAATGTTGTTACCGCCAAAACACATCAGAGAATGGCGAACATCAATAAGGAGAATTTGAGGTGATCCGATTTTTATGGTCACGCCTAAAGCTGTGTTGTTTGTCTCAGGAACGCCATTTTCGCGTTCAAAGATCAGGCCAGGCACGCGCAACGTGTTCGGTTTGATTGGATTTAGATTCTATTCATACTGAATGAGAATCCGGTGTACGCCCAAGGTGTAAGACTGAATGTTCATGTATAAGAATTGTAGTACATGATCTGTGATGCCACTGGAATCCTTTCATGTCATTAGGCACGTATGACAAGAAGAACTGATGGTTTCATCCCCTGTGTATTGTAAAACACCATTTCCTGTTTGATGGGATTGTCAGAGGTGTATACGAATCAAGCCACTATTTCAAACTTTCCAAATGTAATCACCTTTTGTCGAGGCTATGTTGACATTTAAAGACCATTCATTATTTTATACACCAAAAGTAAAGATATTCGGCTAGTAGTACGTACGGGGATAAATCACCGGGGTGTGATAGTCAACCGCGTTCATACAGATGTTTCGTGAACACTCTCGGAATAGTCAAATCCAATCGTGACAGGCGACAGGAGTAGAGCGCTCTGTTCCCAATCGAGTCAGCTTGTCACACGGCTTCCGATGTACAATGACAGCGGATAATATGCCTCCTTCAACAAAAGTGCACGCCATGCACACACATATACAGTTAACATTGCTTTCAAGAAGAAAGTAATTGATAACTGAAGGAAATAACTGCACTACGAATGTACTCTTTTGATTTGTCTTTTCCAATGATAGGCCCGTAATTTAGTAGTATTGTATTGTTGGTTATTATTACATAGATTTGTGTAGTTTACAAATAATATAGCGTTTCATTTTCTTACCACTAAATTTCATTGCTAAAAATCCTTGTACCGACTATGTAGCTCATATTGCCGGGTTTATTTCAATTTTCGAAATCCGTTACGGGTCAAAGGAGTGTACACTATAAGTGATAGAGCAACTTCGTACAGATGATTCCACAGATACCTCTATAATTCATTTGGAATCGGGAACGAACCCACGTGCGTTTCATTGCAACGGGTGGTGCAACAAGCGAGGGTCAGATCGCGGTTATGAGATCCCAGAACAGTCTAAGAAGAACTCAACTCCTGATGATTGACAGAGCTTGACCAGCACTGTTTGGTGATAACTTTGGATCAACTGCGGATGTCCAGTGCTACATCTGAGCAGTAGCGCACCAGCCGCCGAAGACACTCATCGTTCTGAACTCATGCGATCCGTTCATAACCCGGTGGTGTTTGAGTGAGGTCATCAGACAATGGATCGCACCAAACGTATCTAGTCCAGCAGCGGTTGTCTTCCACTATCTCATTGCCGATAAAATTGGAATAAACTTATTGCAAACTATATCCGAAGAATGGTTGAAAAAAGGCGTTTTGGTTTGAGACTGATATGCGCAAATGTATCCTTTTAGTTTAGAAAAAACTCCAAGCCCATATCGGGATCTGTGTATCCGCTTGATTCGGACGGAAATCGAGGAGAAAGCATTCTCCACTAAAGACAAATAGGAACAAACAAGAATGATTCCAACCTAAATTTCCTTTTGATGACAAGAGAGAGAAAATGCCCAATGATCTGTGCTGACAAGTCACATTGTTTTGAGGACAACCGAAATAAAACTGGGGATTTCATGTCTGGAATTGTTGATCAGTTAGAAAAACAACTGATTAGTCGATTCGTGGATTGACAGTTGCAAAAAAGGTAAACAAACTCAACCTTTTTTTTAAATCACATGATTGGAGTAGGAAGTTTTGCCTGCGTTCAATTCCACCCCACCCCCCGCCCTCCCTTCTAACAGGGCTACTAGGGAGATGTTCTTGTCGATTGCAAAAACGGTCTGCGGAATTCCGAATTTTAAACTACTCGTAAAACAGGAAGACTGAGTGTGTAGCACGACGATGTGTTCCGTATCATTGATTTCCAAATTTTAAAATTTGATTCACATTTGAACCTACCCTATCCTCCCTCTTTTGGCGATCTCGTCTCACCGATTGTAAAATCCGTAAGCAACATATAAAATAAACTGTTTAAACGGCCTAGCACTTAAATTTGTGAATCCAGAAGGTCGTTCCGCGTCAATCGGTGCTCTTTGTGATCATGCTCGTACAAGTGAGAGTTCGACAATACGCAGAATAACATAATGGCCAGTCGTTGTTCCGATTCGCTTGTTTCAGGTGTGTGCATTCTTTTGTTCAGTTAGCCCAGTCGTCAACCAGGTGTTCCAAATGGTTTACATTTAAAATAAGGATGTATGCACATTGCCCCTAATAAGTAGCCTCAGTTTCTATCGCGATACTATCACACAAACAAAACTTCACGTGCCTGCACGTCCCCGGAGACGGAGGTCCTGCGGTTACTTTTGTCCATCTTGCCAACGCAGTCAGAAAAGTGGTCATTTTCGGGAAATCGATTTTTGTCCAATATACATTTTATTTTTTGGTCCCTTAGTTTAGACCCAAGGGCACCTTCACACGAGTCAGACTCAACTGTACAAAGAGTAGTTCAACATTCACTGAAACAGGTCAAGTTGCTAAATTGCTTTTTTTGTATCATGGAATTGCTGGACAATTCATCAGTTGAGAAAGTGGGGAGACCAATTAATATACTGCGAGATCGGAGTTGACTTGATCAGGAAGAATAGAGCCAGGTGACAAAACAGAAAAAGATAAATAACGGTGGATAATTTTTGTTATTTGTGTGCTTCAGTGTGTTTGCACTTTGAGTGCTTTTTGAAAGATTGATGGATATTTCAAACCAAAACAACAGAGTGGCGAACAAGCTCGTTTTCAGAGATTCGTATTCATGCCAATACATCTCAATATATATCACTACTTGGGAATAAAATTGTCAATTGACAATTTTATTCCCAAGTAGTGATATATATTGAGATGTATTGGCATGAATACGAATCTCTGAAAACGAGCTTGTTCGCCACTCTGTTGTTTTGGTTTGAAATGTGCTCTGTGGGATTATTTCAACAATTGATGGATATATTTGGATGTATATATATATATATATATATATATGTATATATATTTGGCTTGATGAGGATTTAGATTGAGGAATT